ACCCTGTTTTTTTTCCTGAGCAGGTGAAAGTGAAGAGCAAATTTGAAATGCTGACCTTGAAATGACATAAAGCTGTAGTTACTTGCATATTGTACCGATTGACTTGGTTCATCTAGAATTGATGTATGTTACTTGTTTTGAAACTGCTGCAAGTTTTAGCACAGGTATTCCATAAACACATTTTTCAGCAGCATTTCGGCACCTACTTAATATATATGACAAAACTGTTTCTTTGCTCTTGGGGGGGGGGGGGTGTTATGGAAAATTTTTCATGTCTCAGTGTCACAGGATGGGGTCCCCAGGGATGACTGTGGGGCCCCTAGGGCCCCTTGACTGCCAATTTGGCCCAATGAACACCCTCTTTCTCACCCGCCACATCTTGTTGGTAATAATTATGAATAGGGAGGCTGCCCTCAAGTTTACGTTTGGCACGGTCTTGCTGGACCCCGCGGGTTCTTGGACCCCTTTTCGGTCCTGCATAAAAATGGTTGCCTCTCGGGGCACCTTCAGCCTTATGGGCTAGATGCATGGCTCCAAGCCACCCCTTTACCATGCCCCAAGTCTCGCAGATGGTATTCACACAGTGTCCCGCCGAGGCCGTAGTTTGACTTGGCCTCTGGTCGTCACTGGGCTCTCCGCAGCCCTGCCTCTCTCTCTCTCTGCACCCACATTGGCACTGGGGTCCATGCACCCCAGATACTGCACCCACACTAACGCTGGGGTCCACGCACTGTCATGGGCCCCCAAGGAGGCCACCTCCTTCCCCAATAGCCTCAACCCGATCCTCCAGTTTGCAAACAGAAATCAAAATACAAGCCCCTGGGTTATAACATAATGCAAGCAGCTCAGGGTGTGCTCTGTCCCTTTAAATGAGTCGCCCTTCCTCCAGCACAACATGCCTTGTAGGCCAGGATCTGGTGAGCTCCTGAAGTCCCTTAAACTTATCAGAAGCAGGAGATGGGTTATCAAGCCTCTTCACTTAGGTTCCGCTAGGAGAGCACCTTCCCCCTTAGCTGCTGGCAGAGAACTGACCCTCTGGTCCCAGCCCTGGGGTTTATATATGCCCCAGGCCCTGCTGACTGCCTGCAGGTGTGGGCTACCTGCTGCAATGGTAACTTGAAGCTCAGGGGTTCCTGACTGGCTGCT